CCCTTTTGCACAGGCTTGCGTGAATCTCGCCTGGACGTGTCGCACCCGTTCTCTGAACAAGGCCCAACACAGAACGAAAGCACTAAGTTATTCCACATCCCTAAATACTAAACCCTGTACCCTGAAATCCAAAAACAAAACCGTCCACTCCAAATCCTAAGCCCCGAACACCTAGGCCCCATGACGGGTCCCTTTATAAGGCTTCCCTTACTGTAAGGGTTGGCTTGCATAAAAGAGCGCCCTCCGAGAAGCACAAGGGGCCTGCGGGCTCATGCTCGTCGTACCAGCTCACATCCAAGCAGAAGAGGACCTTTATCGTTCTAGGGTTTAGGGTTTAGGGTTTACGGTTTGGGATGCTTGGGGTTTAGGCTTGATGGGATCTTCCATTTGCCTTGATGCTTTTTGAAGTTTTTTGCTTGGTTTCTCTCGTTCTGCAAAGAAGTTTGAGGTCTCCCTTCCAACCCCTAAGCCCCAAACCTTAAACCGTCGAGAAGGCTTTGCGAGCAGCCAGTGGAGACTGGGGCCGATCAGGGGAGCAATGCAACAGCGGGCGCTCGACTAGCGAGAGCGAGAGCGAGAGCGAGCGAGGGAGACAAAGAACCTCAAACCTCATCCTAAACCCTTTTTCACAAGGGACTCGTCTGCTGCCCTTACTGCCCAGCTTGACCCACAAGACAGTACTCATGACTGTGATCCGAAACCCTAAACCTCTAAACCCTAAAACCCTACGCCCTGGTGGACTGTGCCGCGAGTGGCCTCGAGAAAGCTTCGATGCCATCGAAGGGCCTGGGGGCCCAGGGCTTGCCAGGGTTGATAAGGGGTGTATAAAGGGGTTCATAAGAGTTTACAAGGGTTCATAAGGGTTTGTAAAGTTTTCGGGTGTAGAGGGGTTAGAGGCTTTAAAATGTGGTAGAGTTTAGGGTCCTGGACTAGTTTTTCCAGCTTCAGGGTTTCACGGGGCGCAGGGCTTGGAGGGTATGGGTTTTTCGCACCGGTTTTAAAGAGTTTAGGGCTTAGGTTTAGGGTTCAGTGCTCGCGCTTAGGGTGTCGATGTAGGGGCGTGACTTTTTTTGACTCGGGTGTCAAGGGGCTTCATACTACACTAGACTAAGGAATCCTCAGGAAGAGTACTGCTAATCTAAACCCTAAACCCCATGCTAGGGTTTAGAGAGGCAGGGTCTGGACTTAGGTCTTAGGGCTGGCGCAAACTTCAGGGTTCCGAGGCCTTGGTATCTGTTACAGGGGCCATGATGTAAGGCCAGATAATGGTTTAGGATTGAGGGTTTAGGGGTTTTCTTGGGGGCTCTGACATGCCATTACTGCTTACGCCGTAGCTTCAAAAGCATTCACGCCAAGCTCCCCCATCAGGAAACACACACACACACACACACTCTCACTCTCTCTCACTCTCTCTCTCTCTCTCTCGCTCTCTCTCTCTCTCTCTCTCTTCCAGCTGAAGCCTAGAGACATGGCATAGCCAAATCAAGCTAAATTGCTGAAGGTTGGGATGAGTAATCACATAGGCCAGGCCATTAAGTAGAAAAGATGCCAGGGATTTGGCTTCGGCTCTCGGCCCTTTCCACATCTGTGCACTGATCGATGTTAAGATCGCATAGCTGACTTCGGGGTATAGCTGTAGCCCCACATTCTACAAAACAGTAGCTTCTGATGCCTTTTCACTTCTAGGGCCTAGAATCCTTACAACGAAAGGGTTTTGGATGATTTTGGATCCGCAGATCCACGGTAGGGGTTGCGCTTCAGGCTATGGCCCATGGCATCACCTGTGTTTCCACTGATCAGCTCGTGGAAATGAACATCGGCTGTGAAAAACAACTGCATTGGGAGCTAGGATTCGGGGGACCCTTGAGGATATAGACCCGCTCGATAAGGTCCCTTTTAAGAGAGCTAAAAGTAGGGTTCAGAAGGGCCCTAAACCCTAAACCCTTTTTACACAGGCTTGATTGGAGCTCGCCCGGCCAATGTCCCTCGTAGCACATAAACCCTGAACCCTAAACCCTAAACTACATCTCCAGGCCCTAAACCCTAAACCCGAAACTACATCTCCAGGCCCTAAACCCTAAACCCTGAACCCTAAACCCTGAACCCTAAACTACATCTCCAGGCCTGCTTTGCAGCAGCCCAGGCAAGGCAGGTCTGCCAGCCAAAAGCGAAAAGAAACTGCACGACAGCCAGGACACCTCCGACTCTCTCCGATGTATGTGGTTTGTTTACAGAGCTCTACAGGGATGTATAGAGGGTGCAACCTGGGTTCTATCGAGAATGAGCTGAAAGTAAGTCAATTTCAGATTTAGCTGCATACACTCCACCAAAAGTTGTCGGAGATGTAAGATTCTAGGTAGAATGCTCAAAGTCGCTGCAAACTAATGCTGAGATCCATGGGGCTTCTGGTATCAATCGCCTTTCGTCCGGCTTATAAACCCCAGCGGCGTCTACCGCACATTATACTGAACCGACCTAGTAGAGCCAGCGATACGATTTGCTATAAGATAGGGCAGATAGGGCTAAAGTATACCAAGGTAGCTTCACGAATCACAAGGTTTCATTTGGGGTTTACAGAACCCTAAACCCTAAAGGACCCTAAACTCTAAACCCTAAAGACCTTATACCCTAAACTTTAAACCCTACAGGACCCTAAACTCTAAACCCTAAAGGACCCTAAACTCTAAACCCCAAAGGACCCTATACCCTCAACCCTTAAGGACCCTAAACCCTAAAGGGCCTTTAGGAGTTAATAAGGGCTGGGGAGTTGGGTTCGCGGCTCAACTGTGGGGCTTTAGGATTAGCTAGGATTAGGGTCCCACGAGTTCAGTCCCGGACTTGCTGCAAGCGCAGTGGCCTTGAGGGCTTGTGACACGTTTAGGGTTTAGGGTTTAGGGGCCCTCAGAAGCTCTTCTGGGAGTTAAAGCTGAAGATGAGCATCGTTGTGTACTCTTGCCGCCCGCCTAGCTGACCGTGCCACACAGCCAGGGGAACCAGCAAGTACGGAAGGGAGCATGTGCGTGGGATTCCAGGGGAAACAAGAAGGCAAACCCCAGAAAGCACGGCTTGTAGGGTTTAGGGTTTAAGTGTATCTGAAATCTGCAGCACGCGCGTGGACAAAGTCTAGTGCATCGAGGGGCCGACTAGACGGAATAAACCCTGAGGAACACTTAAACTCGCTGTAGCGCTTCAGACTACTGCAATAAATCCTCAAAGCCCATTTAAACCCAAACCCCCACAGATTCCTAGACCCTTGTATGATTGACCCTACTTCAGTCTGCAAAAGATTGCAAGACCGAGAATGCCTTTTGGAATGAGTCTAGGCCTAAGCCCGAAATGGAATAGGTTTAGGGTTTTGTTTGGCCTCCTACTTAGGTTTAGGGCTTAGGGTTTAGGGGTTTAGGGGTTTAGGGTTTATCAGGGTTTAGACTGAATTTAAAAGCCTCCTAAGTCTTCCACGATCAGGTTTTGACAGGCACTCGATACGGCGGTGTTGCGAGATGCTTTCGTGGGAAAGCTATTCCCACGGCAAACCCTAAACCCGATTTCAGAAAAATGTTGCTAAAGAGAG